TTTTTTTTTTTTTGATCTATTTTCGTTTTTGTTTCAGTTAATTAAAAATTATTATTATCATCATCATCATCAATTATTATTGTTATTATTATTATAATTATTATAATAATAATAATTATTATTATTGTTATTATTTATATATATATATATATATAAAATAATATAATAATATAAAATAAATAAATATATATATATATAATAATAATAATAATAACAATAACAATAATAATATAATTATAATAACAATTATTATTATTTTTTACGAGTTTTACAAGAAAAGAAATCATTACTTTCGCTTTTTTTGTTTACAAGGAGGTTTTTTTAAAAAACTAAAATGATTACAAATAAACATACACTTAAATTAGAAATGAAGGACAAAAAAATTCGTAATCGACATGTGTTAATATCATTAGTTTTTTTTCCTGTTCGAAACCTTGTTGAATTATAACTCACATAAATCTGTCAGCAGATTTCAAAAGATTCTTATACATAAGAGAAAAAAAAGATTTACGTATCGCATAAACTATCAATTACAGTATTTATAGATTAATAATTAAAGTTTTATAATATCATACACACATTTTTTATGATGATAAATCCAAAATAAAACTGCTCAAATATAACAAAATTATTTATAGCGGAAAAAAGTTTATTTGTTAGTTATGTGATCAATTATGAATTATCAATTTCTTTAATACTAAGCCACTTGAAAGTCATCCTCAATCTGATCTACCCTACGATTTTTACTCTGTTTAGACCCTGAATATCTTGGGTCATGATATCATTAGAATTAATCTATCCTATTTTTGATTCTATTGAAACCTATTGCGGGAGTGTTTTGTGTTTTTGTATTTCTCTGGGTCCTTATTTTATGTTTCACAATTGTACCAGTTCGGCGTGTGAAAGGGTATTTTTTTTTTTTCACATAATCAGGTGTAGCAATGCTTAGCTTTTTGAGTTATTCTCAGAATGCTTTTTAGAACGTTAAAAAACTAAAAATTTTTTTTTTTTTATTTTTTATTTAAAAATCATGTGAAATGTTCAAATTTTAATTATTTTTCGGAGTATCCGTTTTATCCTTTTTTTTTTTTTTTTTTTTTCTCAATGATTTCTCTTTCATCAATTCCGTGTGGCTTTTCTTTCATGGTCTGAGCCATTCAACACATTCATACCATCTAACCTTGAAAGTGTATTCAATAATGAAAGAAGATCTTCTTTAGGTCAATTCATTTTTTTTTTCTTCAATGAAATAATAATTTCCTTCTTCGGATTGAAAAAAAAAGTTTTCAAATGATAAATATTGTTCTTCCTCATTTGGAAAGAAGCCTCCAAAAACTCTCTTTGTATGGAACCAATGAAACTTTATAAAAAAAAAAAGTCACTTACCTTAAAAAAGACATTAAAATGGGAATAGGAGTCCCTTAAACATTTTTTTTAAAATTGTAAGACGACATCTAATCTTAAAATTTTTTTTTAATTTCGGCCAAAAAAATATATATATATATTTCAAATTTTTTATCAGATCGTCAGATTGTCTGATGATTAACAGGGAAATTATCAAAGTAATGTTAATGTAATATTTATATATATATAATAAGTAAATTGAAAATATTTAAAATAATTTTCTCATTTTTTTAAAGTTTGATTTTATTTTAACTTTTTTTTTCTCCTTTCATTTTCTTTACCATTTTTTTTTTTTTTTTTGACATTTTGATAATCTTTTTTCATTAATTTTAAAAAAATTAAATAAATTATAATAATATATTTAATATATTAGGTTATCAATTTTATTAATTCTCTCCTTTTATTTGATAATTATTATTACAAAGATCTGTATGTAAATGAAACCCGATTTTCAAAAAAAAATAATTTCGATCTTTGCCGAAACTCTTTTTTTTTTGACAGATTTTTTCGGATAAAATTAATAAAACTGCGGTAAAAAAAACATGTCTAAAATCCTGTGGTTAATATAAAATTTTATCTACAAAAGTTATAGTAAAAATTTTCATTCTACGCACGATTAAATCTCGTGGCTACACCAAAATTATTAAATATTTCCCTTGCAAGAAAATAAATTTCAAATAAAGAAGTTAATAATTCCGAACTGTTTCCGATTTATTATCATTTGAAATTATGTTAAAGTCGTACAAAACAAAAATTTTTTTCGTATTACTTGATTGGATTAATTACAATGTTCTAATAAACAAAAGATGCAATAACCAACAAGTAAATAAAGATTAAATTCCTGAAAAGGTAGAGTTTCTTGCATGGTTTTGAAGATAAGAAATTAATCATTGAATTATATTTATAAATTACCGGTTTACCTAAATTTATTAATTAAAAAAAAANTAAATTATAATAATATATTTAATATATTAGGTTATCAATTTTATTAATTCTCTCCTTTTATTTGATAATTATTATTACAAAGATCTGTATGTAAAAAAAAAAAAAAAAAAAAAATTGTAATATAAAGATCGTTTTCATTCTGAAAATAGAAAAAATAAAAAGAAATTCTTTAAATAACAAGATTATAAAATATGACCACTCAAGTAAAGAAGATCTGTTGTCTTGGAGCCGGTTATGTCGGTAGATATCAAAATATCAAAATATCAAATGACCACTTAATGAATTAAGGAGGTGGGAGGTTTTCCCCTCTAAACCTCCTGATAAATTAAAAAAAGTATCTGTTGATTTTTTATTTTATTTTATAATTATATTTCTAACATCTGAATCAAAAAAAAATTTGCTTTATAATACAAATTTAGGTGGTCCAACTTGTGCTGTCATCGCTTATAAATGTCATGATATAGATGTTACAATTGTTGATTTAAATGAGTCTCGTATTGCTGCTTGGAATTCTGATCATCTTCCAATTTATGAACCTGGTCTTGATAAAATTGTTTTTGAACGTCGTGGAAAAAATTTATTCTTTACTACCCAAGTTGAACAATCTGTTTTGGAAGCTGACTTAATTTTTGTGTCCGTGAATACTCCAACAAAAAAATCTGGTTTGGGTGCTGGTTTTGCCGCTGACTTGGCGTAAGTATTTACTTTTTAAAGGGGGTTTAATATTTTAATTCTATAATTTAATATTATTCATCATATATTTTATTTATTTATTCATTTAATAAATTATTTTATGAAAGAATTATTAATTAAAAAAATTAATCATTTTTTTTTTTTTTTTTGGTTAGTTATGTTGAATCAGCTACCCGTCAAATTGCTGATGTCGCGAAAAGTTCAAAGATCGTTGTTGAAAAATCTACTGTACCATGCCGTACTGCAGAAAGCATGCGTACAATTTTAGAAGCTAATAGCAATGAAAATATTCGGTTTGATATTTTATCTAATCCGGAATTTCTTGCTGAAGGAACTGCTATCAATGATTTATTAAACCCTGATCGTGTATTAATTGGAGGTTTACAAACTCCAGAAGGTATGAAAGCTCAACAAGCATTAGTTGAAGTTTATGCTCATTGGGTTCCTACCGATCGTATTATTACCACCAATTTATGGTCATCTGAACTTTCAAAATTGGTAATTATAAGAATAAATAAATATATATATACATATATATTTATATATATATTTTTTTTTTATTTATTTATATATTTCCATTTCCCCCTCCCCCCCCATAGGCTGCCAATGCTTTGTTGGCTCAACGTATTTCATCAATTAATGCTTTGTCTGCAATTTGTGAAGCAACAGGCGCTGATATTGATGAAGTTGCTTATGCATGTGGAAGAGATACACGTATTGGTCCCAAATTCTTAAAAGCTTCTGTTGGATTCGGTGGTAGTTGCTTTCAAAAAGACATTTTGAATTTGGTTTATTTATCAGAACAACTTAATTTACCTGAAGTTGCAGCATATTGGAAACAAGTAGTTGATTTAAATGAATATCAAAAGAAACGTTTTGTTTCTCATGTTATTAAAACTCTGTTTAATACCATCACAAATAAAAAAATCGCTATATTTGGATTTGCTTTTAAGAAAGATACTGGTGATACTCGTGAATCAGCTGCTATTACTTTATGTAAAGATTTTATTCAAGAGAATGCCAAAGTTCGTATTTATGATCCAAAAGTTACTACCGAACAAATCTTTCTTGATTTGAGTGAACCTGGTGTTGTCGATAATACTAAACAATGTAAGTAAAAAAAAAAATGTTTATAAAATATTATTATTATTTTTTTAATAATGTTCTTTTTTTTTAACAAACCTTAGTAAAAAACCGCGTTACGATTGCAAAATCCGCATACGAGGCATCTGAAGATGCGGATGCTATAGTAATCGCCACTGAATGGGATGAATTTAAAGTTAGTATTGTTATAATATCGTTGTTGATTCATGTTCTAACTCTAATACTAAACCTAATACTAAACCTAATACTAAACCTAATGCAAAACCTAATATTAGGAATTAGATTATCAAAAAATTTACGATCAAATGCATAAACCAGCTTTCATTTTCGACGGACGTCTTATTCTCGACGCCGAAAAATTGCGAAATATTGGATTCCGTGTTCATACTATTGGACGAGCTGAAGCTTAAAAATTATTTTTTTTTTATTTATCATCATTTATAGACGAGAAAAAAAAAATTTTTATTATTATTTAACTTTTTGAGTTTTATAAAGATGAAAGACTTTAATAATAGATTCTTTTAAAAATTATAAATATTTAATTCTCATTATTAGAATTTAAGTCTTCAATGTTAAGCTAAATTAATCACACGGAATTAACTTTGTTAATTAAATATTTTCATGCCTCCCTTTTTTTCTTTTCACTGTTTGCAACAGTGTTGATTTCGTCTTGCTTTCGTTTTAGGTTTTTAGATTGTCCCAAGAGAACTATTTTATAAATAAATAAACTAATTATTTCTTTAAAGTATAATTTTCCTAATATAAAATAATTTCCTCATTTTAATCAATAATTAATATAATTTACATCATTACCATTTTTAAAGATTCCGTTCGTTGTCATAGCATTTTGAAGATATGGTTCCAAATCATAAATCTTACATACATCTTCATATGATTTCGACTTTACTAAATCTTTATATTCCGGTTCTTTTGAACACTCTGCGTACATTTGTGTAAGTGTGTATTTCGTATTTGGCCAATTATTTCCAACATCGATTGCCTATGAAGTTTATAATATAAATAAAAATAAATAATTTAAATAATTTTCTTATACACATGATAATACTTACTTTTTTTATATATTTTGTAACGACTTCAATTAAGGGTAAAGATTCTTCTTTACGAAATATTGATACATTATATTGAGCTGCACGAGCAATCATAAAAGAGCTCACATCTATATAAGAACAAATTTTAAGTACAGTAAATTAAAAAAAAATATATAAAAAAAAAAAAAAGGATAAAAAATAATTATTATATCACTCACTTGACATTTCTTTTAATTTGATAATATCAGAACGTTGAAATAGATCACCATTAGCAATAATAGGAATGGATGTAATATTTTCCACAATATATTTGAATATGTTCCAATGCCCCGGTTGCCTTGGACGTTCATCTTTTGTCCTAGATAAATTAAAAAATTTTTTTTAAAAAAAACATTTAAATTATTATCAATTTTTTTTTATAATAATTATTATAATTTATTGATTTATATTCATACCTACAATGAATTGCCATTGCTTTAACCCCTGTAGATTCTATCATTTTACACAATTCTAAAGTTTGTTCTTTTGTTTGTAATATTCTATTGTTAGATAAAGTAAATTAGATTATTTTATAATTCATTAAAAAAAAAAATTATTCAACATATCACAAACCTTATTTTACAAGTTACGGGGAGGCCAGAATTTTGCACCAAATTGGTTAATATCTATTTAAAGAAATAAAAACATTTAGGAAAAACTTTATAATGCCATATTAAATGATAAAAATTTTAGATTTAACTCAACTGATTTAAGTTTTTCAGGATTTGATAATAAAGCGGCTCCCATACCACCTTGAATTGAAAACTTCTTTGGACATCCACAATTCACGTCTATTCCTGAAACATCCTGTTTCCTATTAAATAAGAGAAAAAAAAAAAAGTTCAAATAAAAAAGAATATTTTTGTAAAAAAAAGTTTTTTATTTATAATTACACTTTTAATGCTGCTTGAAGTGCTAAATCAGGATCAGAAGTTCCAACTTGAAATATTAATTTTGATTTTTCAATAGGATGAGATCGAAAATTTATCGTATTCTTGTCGTCAATATATGCTATTAATCCTGTTTCTTCTGTTTAGCGGTTTTATCCTGAAAACGTGAGTTCAAATACTGTAGCATTGCCTTTGGCAAGGTAACCATCCATTGATTGTTAAACTCATTTTAATTGTTTAACTTAAAAAAAAAATTTGAATGTTACCGTCGAAATGTCTCTTAGAAGCAATTATGCGTTTATCTACTATTTCAGGTGAATAAACTAAATCTAAAAGGATAAATTAGTTTCAATTATATCAAAAAAAAAAATGAATTTTTTCAATTGTTTGCGATCAAAAATTTTTACCTGCCCCAAATTCTAATGCTAATAAACGAAGTGGTAAGGTTCCAACTCTCACCTAGAAAAAAAAATAAATAAATATTTAATTGCAACCTTTTATCAACTATTAAATAAATGACGTACCATGGGTGCAAGAATTATTTTATTTTTGTAGTCTATTGTAGAAGTCATTTTAAGTGCAGAAAAGAATAATTCCCTGAACATCCTTTTTTTTTTTTAATCGGTTATTAAAATTTGCCATATTTATAATGCCGGCCTAGGTTAATCATCATCATGCATATCCTTTAGACCTAAAAGGTAAAAATTAAAGGCGTAATTACGCATAAGATCCGCAGAAAAGAATTCAATAAATAGCTATGGATTTTTTCCCACTTGATATTGAAATTTTAACGTCATTTGAAATTTCAAACATTTTTAAGCGTATTTATTAACTTTATATTTAGGTAAAAGGTTTGGTTTAACTCAAAAAAGTTTTTCAGATAATTTCTAACATTTGGAATTAATCGTTAAAAATTCGTTTTTTTGAAGTATCATTAAAAAAAAATGTCCAACCTTCATGTTGCCGGTGATTTAGCTAAAGATAGCCTTTATTCAGATGTTGCTCCGAAAGATCTTGAATGGACTTTGGCATCAGGTTCTTCAACTGAAACGCAAACATTCTATTTGGCTACTAACGAGGGACATTTTGCTTTTGTTCAAATGATTCATTCAAATATCGGGTATTTTAATTTTGAGGAACAAGTTTCAATTCATTTGGATTCAATAATTTTGATATACAATGAACGTTCCTTTATATAGTTTATGGAATCCTACGATCCAATTTACTTCTCGTTTCTTTGGTAATGGAGTCAATACCTTTAAATCAGTAAATATGACCAATTTCACTCTTTCACCGGATCGACGATCAGCCAGTGCAAATAATATGTCGATTAAACTTAATCCTGAATGTAATAAATATGCTGTAAATTTAACGCATAAAGAGCTAATCGTTTCTTTTGAATTTGAACGAATTGATCGTGGATTCAAAATTGGAGGAGGGAAGACTTACTTTGGTCAAGATAAATCATCTGGATTCGTTGAGCATAAATTTTGGCCAAAGGGTAATGTTAAAGGGAATATGGTCGTTGATGGTCGAGCATTCGATGTTACTGGAGTTGGATTATTTGTTCACGCTATTCAAGGAATGCGTCCACATTTGATTGCATCACGTTGGAATTTTGTTAATTTCCAATCTGATGTTGCTTCTTTATCAATGTGTGAGTTTGAAACAACTCCAAATTATGGAAGTAAAAAAATTAATCAAGGAAGTTTAGTCGTGAATAATAAATTGGTGGGTGTTTCCGTGAAGAACATGGCACAATTCTTGGAAACAAGTTTGGATCCTGAAACAAAATATAAAGTCCCCACGAAAATTAAATATACTTGGGAAGGAAAAACTTTGGAAACTGATGAAGATTTCTCTGCTTTTTTGGAAATCAAACTTGACGTTCTTATGGATAAAATTGATGTTTTGAACGAGGTTCCCTATTTCTTGAAGAAAATTGTGCAAGGTAAAATAAAAAAAAAGAGATATAACAATAATATATATATTTTTACTAAAACCTTTCAATTTGTTTTTTTTTATTTTAGCTTTTGTCGCTAAACCTTATGTCTATCAATGGTTTAATGAAGCGGAGGCGCATGTCAAAATTGGCGAAAATGAAGAATTAACCGCTAAAGGAAAATTATTTAGCGAGTGTTCTTTTATTTCTTAATTGGAATAATCTATTTTTTTTTATATATTTTTTCCTTATATTGTTTCTTGGATTTTTTTTTCTAACTACTTTCTTAAATTTGTATTAATATAATTAATTATGTTTGTATAATTCATAAACATTAATTTTCGTAAAAAGAAAAAAAAAATTACATAAAATCGTTGTACTAATTAATTTATTATTGTAATTGATAAGCAGCTTTAGCATTATCAGCAATACGTTTTGATTCTTGATTCAATGCATCTACAGCAAGTTTCTTTTCTTCTACCATAGTATTTAATCTGCCAGGTTCATTAATTGCTTTTATATCGGTTGATGCTGCTGTGGTTGAGTTTGTTGTTAAACTTGTTACTCCAAAACTTTTGGCTCTTTTTTCAAAATGTTGAGTTGCTAATAAGAGAACATTTAATTCATCTAAATAAATTAAAAAAGAAATTTTATTATAATGCTTTGTAAATTAAGAATATTTAGAATAAAAAAAAAAAAGTATTTACTTGTAACAGAACTAATTGAATATGGATAAGAGAATGAATTCTCTCTATTAAGGAAAAAAAAATCATTTTTTTTTCTGATTAGTTAAACAAGCCTTTTTTTTCTCCCTTCACATTCGAACGAAATTTTTTGTATCAAAATACTTCCAAGCCTCCCAACATGATGTAATAAATTTCAACTACATAATATAATATATTTTTCGTTAGAAAAAAAAAAAATAACATACACTTTTTGTAATATTTCTTGCGCGCATTTTTGTATATTGTCCAATTCTGAATCCAAATCATTCAAATTTTTTTCAAAATCATCGACGATTTTAGACATTTTTATTTTTAATTTATTTTTTTTTTTTTTTTTAGAAAATTTTATTTTATATTTGTTATACATAATTAAAATGTAGATCAAAATTATCAATGTATTATCATTGGCCAACAAAATCAATATATAATATATTCTAGATTCCCAAAAAGAAATAAGAGAATGATTTCTAAAAAATTTTATTTATTCGTATTCTTAAGTATTCTTCTTTTACTTTTTTTATTTAAAAAAAATATGTCACCTAGAATTGTCGTATTAATTTCAGGAAATGGTTCAAATTTACAAGCAATAATTGATGCAATTAATTCAAAAACGCTCAATGGACAAATTGTTTTGGTAGTTTCAAATAAAGACTCCGCTTATGGATTAACTAGGGCTACTCAAGCAGAAATTCCTACTTTGATTTTTCCTTTAAAACCTTATAAAGATTTGGGTAAAACCCGTATAGAATATGATATAGACCTTGCTAAAAAAATTAAAGAATATAATCCAAATTTAATTGTTCTGGCTGGTTGGATGCATATTTTATCTGAAGAATTTTTGAATCTTTTTAAAGACATAAATATTATTAATTTACATCCTGCTTTACCAAATCAATTTGACGGTATTTATATTCTTCTTTTTTTTATCTCTATATTTATTTGAATTCATTTATATTTTTAAATTTTCATCCTAAAGGTGCGGATTCCATCAAAAGAGCTTATGAAGCATTTAAAAAAGGTGAAATTACGAAAACAGGAGTCATGGTCCACAAAGTCATTCCGGATGTAGATAAAGGTGAACCTTTGTTAATTGAAGAAGTCTCAATATTTGAAACTGACTCATTAAATGATCTGGAAACGCGAATTCATACCGTGGAGCATAGATTAATTGTACAGTGTGTAAAGAAAATTTTGGATGAATTAAATCATTAAATTTAAAAAAAGATTTATACTTGATCTCAAAATTGTGATGTAATTTATTTTTATATACTGAAATTTTTGTAATTGTATTATTGAATTGAATCCTGCCAAACTGATTTATTTCATTTCTCATATATATATATACATATAAATGTATATAGTATGTGTATATAATTGAACGTAAATCGAATCACCTTGTTTATAAAAGATCAATTATGACGTCTGTTATCACTTCTATAAAATCAAATCATTAGTTAAATGCTGATATGCTCAAAAAAAAAAGAAAAAAAAAAAAGAAAAAAAATAAATAAATAAATAAATAAATAGCTGCAGAGAGAAGGAAATAAATATATCTACTTTTGATTTGTTGTTACAACGAGATTAGCTTTTAATAAATTCATACGTAGCAACATGGCATTAGTGCTCTGTTCAAATTCGTCACCCATTTTCAAAGCTTTGTAAAATATACCACTTCGTTGATCTTGTTGTTTTGCACATAAAATCTAAAAAAAAAAAAGAATAACATAATTTAACTTAAAAACATTCCCAAAAGGATATTAATATAAAAAACAATAATTTCAACCTTTTTATGACTATCAATTCGTGCTTGAATATGATTCTCCGTAATCAACTTGGCAAGTTCTCTTTCCAATTTTGGAACATTTGTTCCAAAGGATTGTGCCATCTTGTTCATATCTACCGTAAGGAAAGGGCTAAAGTATTGTACCAATGCTTTCTTACGAATATTATCGTAAAGGTTTTCCACGTGACTGTGCAGGTGAAGATCAAGCAAATAATCATTCTAATAATTTTAAGCGATATCATTTTAAATTTTGTAGAAAAGATAATACTCTCATATGCTCGTACAAATTTGATAAATTTACCTTCCATTTGTCCAAAATATCCAATACAACAGAATATTTTGAATTGTAAAATCCATGAATTAGCTCTCTAATATGAGGCTCAAGTTCTAAGAACTGTTTGAATTCGGCATTATCAATCACTTTGCTTTTGAGTTCTGATCGATCAAATGAAGCAAGAGCACATAGTCCTCCATATACAGCTATGTCATTCGGTGAGATAACCTGTTGTTGCAATATAACAGGTATTATTAAATCGGAAATATTTCATGTTAATAATATTCTAATAATCTTATAATGTACCTCAGAGTAATTATTCGCTGGCTGAGAAATCTCAAAGCTGGTCTCCAAGAACAATCTCGCTGCTAACTTATACTTGTTATTATCAAGATGAGCTAAAGCTGCGGCAACTTTCAACTTGGCTTGTACAGCCGGTTGAATATCAGGAGTAGACTCTGCTTTGATAACATAACTGTGTACATGAGAAAAATTTCCCAGTTCGATGGAAACTTTGATAACGTTCAAGCACATCTCTATAACGTGCTTGGCCGTTGTACAATAATCCCGAGTTCTGGAATAACATTTCAGCGCGTTCGTCAAATTTCCACAATTATAATAATGATCGCCAAGATCATTGTGTCCCATCTGATATAAAATGAAAATTACAAATAAATTTTTTATCGTTTAATTTTAAGAAAATATAATTACCCTTATGCTCTCTTTTATTAAATTATTCTTATAATTTTTTAATTCAACTTCCAACCTTTCCAATAAAGATTTTGCACGTTTTTGTGTTGAATCAACCCATGTATTATCAATTGAGAAAGATGGATATCCTTGAGCTGTCAGAACTTCGTTTAGTTTTGTTGCAGCTGATATATATCTGGCATGATCAAGTGAATGATCACGTAATTCTTGTAATGCAAGTCTATAAGCATCAATTTGAAGTGAAGGACATCGTTTTGCTATAAAAAGCAAACGGTCGACCTTTGTATGCCCTGAAAATAAACAAACGGTTTTTGAAATTCGAGTTGGCTTTATCAAAACTCCAAAAGTTTTAAATCAAAACCAACCTTTGTAATTTGAAATATACGTATCAAGATCCAAGTTATTAGGAGCGTCAACTACAATGTCAAGCGTACGCTTTCTCTTGGCATTCGCATTAGAGTCTTCCATTTTGCGTGTTAACGATTCTAGATAGAATTTATTATTTCCTAAAGCGAGTCGTTCAGTATTTATGGGTAACGAACTTGTGATAACGTGATGATTTACAGCTTACCGAGTCACAATTATTTGTCACACTCTAACAGTTGAAATGTTGTGTGAGCTACCATGCGTGGCAGGCATCATGATGATCAGATTATTATTACATAGCTTTTTTAAAGAAAAAGACTTCTATAGTTCGAAACGACCAATTATAAAGAAATTAACGCGAATTTTGCCTGTTTTAAACCATAAATCGAGGAAACCCCGGTTAAATTTCTTTTCACATAGGAGAATACTCATTGAAACTAAAATGCCCAAGGTCAAATCTGGATTTTATGCGGTTCACATTGGTTTTAAACCGGGAGTTTATCATTCTTGGTATGTATAGTTAGTCGACTACCAATTTTCATTGATACATTTGAATTCTTGTTAATTACCGGGGTCCTCATAGGGAAGAATGCGAAAAACAAATCAAGAAATATCCCAATGCTAAATATAAAAAGTTCAATACACTACAGGAAGCCGAAGCTTTTGTAAAAGAAGGAAATAATAAAAAAGGTTTGCAATATAATATAATGTCTTATTCGTAATAATTTTATTAAAAAGATTTATAAAACATTTTCAAGTATTCGGAAATTCTACTCGAGAAACACCGATATCGAAATATATTTCATCTAAGCAACAAAATACTAGTTCTGTACGTTCAGAATGAAATTCCTAAATAATTAATGAATATTTATATAAATGTTTATAAGATTATTTGATTTAACTTATCAGTCAGCATCCAATGTAAGTAACGAAAAATCTCTCAAGGTTTGGACAGATGGAAGTTCAATCAACAACGGACAACATGGAGCAAAGGCTGGTATAGGAGTTTATTGGGGTAAAGATGATCCACGGTAATTTTTTTTTCCTAATGAAAATTAACTTCATACAACCATTTAAAAATTATTAAAGTAGTATTTGATGATTACAGTAATATCAGTGAGCGTTTGCCAGGGCCGAGACAAACTAATAATAGGGCCGAAATTATGGTAAGATGCCAAAAATATTAAAACTATACTAAATAATTATTAAATCGATAACACTTTATTAGGCAGTAATACGCGCCTTAGAAACTTGCCCAGACAATAACATACCATTAGAAATAAGGACCGACAGTCAATATGTAATAAATGGTAAGGAAACATGAAGCATAAAATTATAAACAGTTCTTAATTAATCATTGTTTTATTTTTTCCATTAGCATATAAATCTTGGATACCTAAATGGGAAAAGAATAATAAATGGAAAGCATCAAATAATAAAGATGTTGAAAATAAGGAACTCTTCCAACGATTAATGAAATTAGTAAGAGCACGCAATGCAGAAGTTACCATCGTATGACATTTTATGAATTTGATTAGTCAAGTGGAGTATATAGAATTTATAGATTCATTTTTCTAATTTCTCTTTTGTTATTAGGAATATGTTCAAGGCCATGTTGGTGTTCAAGAAAATGAAGAAGCTGACCAATTGGCAAAATTAGGAGCTTTTATGGATACTGTAGATGATCTCTATGATTATGGTGATGATGAAACGGAAATTAAGCGGCAACATACTATTCTGCAATACTTCCAAACTATTACAGATGAATCATCGCCCCCATCAATAGTTGAGAATAGTCAAATTCTTTTAAATAATTTTGAATATAATAAAAATATATTAGCTAAAGATGATTCTAATTGAAAATGAAGTGGGAAATCAAGTTTAATTATTAATATTATATAGAAAAATTTTAAACAGGTGCACTCATGCACTTTGGTACACTCATTTATATATTATATTATAAAAGTTAAATGACGTTTTATACACTTCTTGGTAAAACTTACACATCAATAAAATAATAGTCTTTTAAGTCTTTATTTGTTAATGTGGCTAAAAATCTTAATTATCTTAATTACCAAAATTTTATTATATAAATTATATAATTATATAAACATAAATTTTTTTTAGGTATTATTGATTTGGTAATACCAATTTTCAATAAACTAAACATGTAAAATTTGTCTCTTTAAAAAATGTATATTTTTTTAACTACAATATTTGCATAAAAATAAGCAACATTATAATTGTATGTACCCAAAAATAAGCAAGTTGTAAAATTTGCTGAATATTCTTTAAAATACGTTCATTATTACACAACAAATTAAATTATCATTAGCCGAGATTTAATGCAGTTTGACAAAATACATGCTATAGTTTGAACAAATATTTTCCATAATAAAACAGGTTGCTTATTTTTAGGCAAATATGGTATATTTTTTCTGTAATCATTTTTTTTTTAAAAAAATAAGTATTTAAAAGAAAAATATTGGATTTTCTTAAGTAATCATATAAGAGTGTTTTTGAAGTTTTAAAAGTATTTTCTTTAAAATTTATTCAGTTTAAAAACTTAGTTTTAAAAACAATTTATATAATTAAATTTTGATATAAATCATCAAAAGTTTTAAACTTTTTTTTTATCCTATTTTGAATGATTAGATATATTTAGATATATTTGTAATGGATAATTACAAATAATAAATGACAATTATGTATTTATATATATTTATTTATTTAGTTAATATGCTCTTAATGAAAAAATAATGCATATTTTTATTTACTGTATTTCGGTATTTGTACATGATGCTATTTCCTTAAAAAAAGGATTTACAGAATATACTAATCAAATTATAAAAGGTTTCCTATATAATAACTGTATAAATACTTTATTATAACTTTAAGTAATTAAAATAATTTCTTTGACAGTTAAACAATGATAATAATACTTTATCATATTATTTAAAAAAAATTTTTTTATTCTATTTAAATGCATATAAGGAAAAAGTTTTAAATGCAAAAAAGAAAATGAACTATTTACATAAAAAAGTGTATATGTGTCAAATTAATTATTAATATCTACTAAGAACAAATGAGTTTTTTTTGACTATTATTATTTTCCAGATCATCCAGTATTACTATAAATCTAAGCATTAAGAACTAATATGTACAAATAAGTAGGATTGTGACACATATTAGTGGCTGAATATGATAATAATATCCCGCATTTCGCAAGCACTCTTATATATAATCAAATACTCTCTCTGGAGAGAACTGAATTACAGCTTCTCTGACAAATGTTTTAAGTATGTAAGATTTTTAATTTAGTTTATGCTTTAATTATGATAAGATTTCTTTTTCCATCCGTTCATATCTTCGTATTCATTTCCTATCCGTGCTTTATTCTTCCCTTTGACTTTTGAATTTCGTCCCATACTCGAATTATTTGTACTACTGGGGATAATTACATTGTTCGAAGATTGATCTGACCTCGTTGAGCTTTCAGGTTGTTGAGTTTCAAGTGTTTTTGTGCTAATGAAACTCTCCACCTCAGAATCCACCAAGTAAATTAATTCATCATCTTCCATGTCAGAAGAATCAGAACGTGCGGGTTTATCAACTGTCACTACATCAATTTCTTCATCTTCATCTTCATCTTCGTCTTGTTTCATTTGATTATTCTGAGAATATTCTGCTTCTTCTTCACTTACAAAATCAAATTCATCTTCTCTTTCTTCATACACTATATTATCATCAATCTCTTTAAATGCTGGATCCCAACAAACCCAATCTTCTTTATGTCGTGTTGTCCATGTATACATTGTTCCTTCCATGTCTACTGATATGATTATTGGTTGTATAGGATGTTGAGCCAGATCTACACATGTTTCATTTGGTCCTTGTAAAACCTGTACAAGCCTAGTAGTCCTTCTATCCCATATAAATATTTCATGTGCCGCTAATTTTCCAGAACCTTTTTTTTTTTAAAAAAAAAAAATTTTACTTAATTACAATTTTTAATTAAAAAAAAACGAACTTTAAAATAAAAGAAAAACGAACCTCCTATTAAATAGTCACCATTTTGACTGAAACAACATTGATTCCAATTATCTTTATTGACGGTTTCCGCAAATTGCAGTTCAGGGTTAATATCTATCCTTTCGTCATCTAACCCATAAAGTCGAATAGTTTTGTCCGAAATATTAACAGCAATAACTCTATTATAATAAAAATATAAATAAACAAAAAAAGTCATCACTTTAGACAAGAAAAATAATGAATTTATAAAATATCACCACATATGTCTTGGCAACCGAGAATCTACACATACTTCCCGTTACGGCTAACTGAAATATTTCTTATAGATAAGTGACTTAGTTTTGGATTGTCTAGTATCTAAAATTATACGTACGAAGAAAAAAGCTCATAAACAAAATCTATAACTAAAGTAATAAAAATAAAATAAAATAAATAAATTTACTTACTCTTCGAGTGTTTGGATCGATTACATTCAAGTAACCTTTATTCGTTCCTGTAAGAATTCGGTTACCACGCTTATCGTATCGACATACAACTGTTTTACTATATATCGGAGTATTATTGCCTAACATCAGTAACAAGTAAGTTTTTTCCGGCAGTTTTACTTAACAAAAGTAACAGAATTGGAAAGTTTTTCTTGATACTCACTGTATATAAAGAGTTGAATTCGTTGTTTCTTCACTGCTGCTGTTATTCGCGTCAGGTGAAGACCCTGCGTTCGTTGGTAATGGAAACCGACGTATTGTATCTCCTATTTCTACAATTACCGGTGAATCTTGGTATATTGAGGCAACAAAAATAGAACTATCATTGACGATTGAGCCGCGATATGCTCAAATTTATTTTCTCAATGAAAAACAAAGGAATTAAATATATACTGACTTATTTCTTGGGTGCATTTCAGCCATAAGTACTGGCCCATCAAAACGGATCCACTTTTGAGTGCCTTTTGTTATATCCCAATAGACACATTTGTGGTCTTCACCGGAAGAGAGGATACATCGACCATTACGTGACCAGCTAATTGAATTTGAATTAATGGGATCATTTGTTTTAAAAATTCATAATAAAATTAACTATTTAGAGTGAAATTACCTTACGCTAGTCACTGAGTTTACATGACATCTCATTTTACGAATAATACTCATTGATTGAAAGTCCCATACTATGCAGTAACCATCGGAACAACCGCCTGCTAACATCGTGCCCCGTTTATTGAAGCTGATACAACGAACAGGTCCATCTCTTACGGTCGCTTCAAGTTTCGCAGGATAATCCGATTCGAAAGGACCTTGAATTATTAGAATTTGTAGGAAAAACGGTTAGTAAAAAAAAAGAAACAGAAAATAGATCGCTTTAATAAATGAAAGATGTTTATACAAACTTACTTCTTAGTTCTAGATTCATCACTGAAACTTAAAAAAGTTATTGGTTATAAAGTTTATGTAAAAGATAGTTTGACAAAAGTTTTAAAAGTTTTGTAAAAAAAGTTAAATTTTACAAGATAAAGGGTGAATATAATTAAGTGTTCGGTGATGCGACACAGTCACAATTGATTGTGACACCAACGATGTTAATGTTAAAGTAACATGTGATATCCATTCAAGTAAATTGCAAAAGACTAGTGACTAGTGGAACTTGTAACTACGCGTTCGCGTGAGAATTGAACCTGTTTTTATATTAGCTAAAACTCTATCTTATTAAACATATCATTTCTCTCAAATCATGGTACGTATCTTTTGTTATAAAATTTTTATTTTAATATTTAGGCTAAGTGTTTGCCTTTTATAGAGTTCAAGAAGCAGCAGACGCAATCGGAGTGTAATAGCTGTAAGTTTATTATTCTTATATTAATATTTAGATTGATATAAATAAGTTAATTTTTAACAGGATGACGAAACAGAAGCGGGTCCTAGTAGACCAACAAGACGCACAGCTTTAAGGAAGGAAGGAACTGGCAACATTCGTAAACGACGACGACAAGACGAAGAAGAATCTGAAGCGTCGTCTAATGAAGAAGGTTCTGTTGATCAACATTCGACTCTTACTGAAAAAGCGGCTCAAAAATTGACTGCAGAAGTAAAGGAATTTTAATTATGTATATATGTGTGTGTATGTTAGTTATATACCTTTTTTTTAACAGGAGCTAGAGCGCAAAATCAAGGACGTAGTACGACTTGCCCTATTCACGGAATTTCGAAAACAACCAATAAAGAGAGAAGAAATTGTGAAAAAAGGTAATCACATCGGATTATATCGGATTATTTAATCAACCATAATATATTTGAACCAAAAGAAAAAAATAATAATAAATCTTTTTTATCATTAGTATTACGCGAACATTCAAGAGCTTATTATGAAATCGTATTTGATAAAGCTCAAGAACGCCTTGAAGATATTTTCGGAATGAGATTGGCGGAATTGCCTAAAAAATCATTTGGCACGGGAGGGGCACGTAAACGTAAGTTATTATGGTAAATTTAAATTTTTTAAATTTGATATGTTAATTAATTCCCGTTTGTAAATGAAATTCTAGCTGTTAATAATAAGGAAAAAACTTTAAAAACGTATGTCTTGAAAAATGTTCTTCCGCAAGAGTATAAAGAAACTGACATAATAAACTGGGGAAAAAATGAACAAGATATTATGGGATTACTCACAGTCATTCTCAGCTTGATTCATGTGAACGGAAGAGTTTTATCAAACGGTTAACAATTATGTTTTATATATTTCACACGTTTTATAATTTTTATTAATTAATAATATTATTTATGGTTTCAGATCAACTTACTCATTACTTTCGTCGGTTGTATCTTGATGGCAATGATAAATTTGATTTAGAAAAAGTATTATCAACATTTGTCAAACAAGGCTATTTGGATAGACAAAAAACAAGTGGGACTGATCAGTCGCAGAATTCAGAACAAGACCCTCTTGAATATCGTTGGGGACCTCGTGCAAAAATCGAAATGCCAGAGAATAATCTTATTAAATTTATTCGAGCAGTAAGTAATTATTTAATTATTTTACATTAAATAGGCTGTACCAACCTTCATGAAAATTCATGAAGAGGTTGAGTTCACCACCATCAAAACTTAAACGGGTTTGGTTTTATAAAATCTAACCCTGATACCAAACTCAAAATTTGAATGTATCTATTAGTAATTATGTATTTTTTTTTTTCTTAATTAAACTATAGTTATTTGGTCATGATGTCCCTCCTGATTTCGATAAACAAATTGAAAGATCATCTGGAATAGAGCTGGCTTCATGATTAATTAATTAATTCTAACAAATATTATCTTGATTGTCTCCTTGTTATCAAGAAATCTTATGATTGTATAAATTTGATTTGCTATATAAAGTGATTATCCCCAAATTCGATTCCAGAATTCTGCATACTTTATTTTATTTATTTTATTAATTTTTATTTGTTTATTTATTATTTTCGCCGCTGACCATTTGCGCGTAAAATTGAAATTTTGAACTAAGCGCTCTGCAGGGAAAGTTTTTTTTTCATTCAACCCTTCATTTTTTTTTAAAGCAATGCGCTATATGGTTTAAATATTAAAACTCGCTGATATACCAAAATATCATCTTTAGGGGATATAAACTCGAGAATATCCTTCTACTGTTCTGCGGCAGCAAGGACAAGACCTATTAGAATTACAATGAATAATGTTAAATTATCACGAAGAATTTATGTATGAAGTGAAGTAATTCTGCGATTTAATAAACGTACTTAAACTTGCGCTGAGCCATCATTTCGCGACACTAAATTTTTATAAAATTGTTATTAAAATAAAAAAATTAAATTAAAAAAATGAAAGAAAAATTTTATTATTCTTTAGACATACTTCATTACAAAGCGCGAAACATCCACACGGTTTTAAGAGACATTGACGAGCTTCCCCGTGGCAGACGACACAGACACGATCTGTAATTGGTTGTGTATTAAACCCACGTGGTATACGTCTCTCATGAATCAATGCCATTAACGCAGCTGATTCATCTAATGAGGTTGAAGACATTGATGTCTGTGTAATCTTTCGATATTGCGTTCTTGTTAGAATAGTAGAATGCATCAAATGTGCGAGCAATGATTGCATAATTGAGTTTGCTGTTGAACTGGATGTAGAAGGCTGTTGATCATCATGTTCTCTAAGATCATTTCCTAATAACATTAATTCATCTCCAGGTATTACGGAATCTTCCTCATTATCTTCATTATCCTCATCATCTTCACTATTTACATTTTCTTCATGGCCTAAGTCTGAATCAGGTTCATCATTTTCGACATTCGATAAGTTACTATAAACAAAATCATCATCATCTTCGTCGTCCTTGTCTTCTAAATCCTCATAAAGAAATTTGTGATATATCTCTTCATCCCAATCTATTTCTTCTGGCTCTCCAATATCAGTAGTAGCAGATTGTTGATTATTATTATTTTGTAAAGGTTGACGTCCGCCGGAAAATGACCAAATCCAGCTAACGAATCTCATAATTATATCTACAAAGACCTGAACAATTTGTAAAACAAAATTTGACCAGACAATAACACGGCGTGGACCCCCATTAGATTCCGTAGAAGTCAAATCGTTAATGTCTTGTTGCTCATTGTCATATCCACATGTTGGTCTACGTTTATTAGAGGTTTCAACTGAAGTCCTTGACTTTCTCTTTTTTGAACGTTCAAATATTGTTCCTAAAGGTACAGCTATTGGCGGAAGTTCATTTCGAAACCCGTCAACACGATTTGTTTCGATCACTATAGTACCAATTCTGTATAAAGCCATTGTATAATCTTCATGAAGAGATGGCATCGATCTGGCATCCAAAAAAAAAGTTCGCCGCACATTGCCACCAGTTACAACATATGCAATAATATGAAGAATAACACATATCAAAATAATGGCAATCAAAGCTAATTCAGGAAATCTAGCAAAACTTTGCAGAATTGGATATGTTTCTGATCTATAAAATAGTGCATACGCATAATGAACTACAATAACCCGAAAATTTGTTAGAGAAAATGGTGTTGATAATATGCTAAGAAAATAGTAAAATGATATATCTTACTAATCCCGGCTACTCCAACAAAAGTCGTAGGGACGAGTCGATATTGAATACCACGTGGATGAAGGTAAAGCACTTCAAGGAAGAAGATGTCCAGCACTTCTAGAAAAGCTATGAGAAGTAGATCAGTGTTTGACGTGTTCGGAGTGACATTACAAAAGTAATGAAATAACAAAGCGTATTCGTAAAGTGTTGTGCTTTGTTCCCTTCCAGGCAAACTAAGTGAAATTGATCAAAATGTATAAGTATTATAATTGAAATAATATCAATATATCAAAACTATTTTAAATAACAATATTCTAGTATGCATATATTTTTCTCTTACGACTTTTTTTTTTTTGAACAAAAGTCTGAAAAGACATTTAAAAATTACTCTTTAAACCAGTTCAGCTTTAAAAAATAACAATTAAATTTCATCATACCTTCTATTTTCAAGACTTGAATGAAACGCCTTCATCACATAAACGGCTGATAGCGCCTTTAAAGTCAACCATAATGCTTGATGATCGGTATAATCAATGCCGTAATTAAAAGGCCATTGTGAAAAATATGGTTGTAAAGAAGGAATGCTTATAGTAAGTCGCGACAAAAGCACGCATGCTGCCCATGCCATTAAATAAAAACAAGGCAGACGAATCAAAAATCGAGTTTTTTTCGATAATGGGTGTGGGTTGCGAGGTGATACAATTGCATTTATCCTATTATTCAAAACATTCTAAAATTTTAAACATTTATTATTAGCGAAATAAAAGATATAAAAAATAGGTAAGAATAGTATGAACAGACTCTTACGACGAAAATTGCTAGATACAAATGATTTGAGTATAAAAAGTTCCATAAGGTAGGCTGGCGCGGTTCCAACGGTCGACCATCGATGTCTACTTCCTCTCCAGGAAACCACCGCATAATATTGTCCACGGCTTTTGACACGACCTCTATCATAAAGTCAAAAAAACTTATGTCCTCAAAGTCCACACTCATTTGCTTACAGTGTATTGGCTTTTGTTGCGAATCTTCGAATGAATCGTTTTGAAAGGAAGTTCGAAAATAAACAAACAACACTCGAGTTGTGCAGTAGTTAAATACAATGCGATCCGCAGTTGACAATCAAGTTGTCAGCCCCAAATTAGCCCTCCTTTGATGGGATCACGCATTTTACGCGTCCAATCATTAGCCACATCAAATTTTGTACCCATTGCATCTCCATTGTTAATTAAATTTCAATAGGTTTCTTAATTATAAAAATCAAATCAAATTCATAAAATAAAATTATTTCTTCTTGTTAAAAAAATAATTTCAACGATATGTAATCGACCAATCATTTGCAATTATTATATGCGGGTATCGATCTTTCGAATAATTGATATTTTTGCTAGTTAAAATTATTCCTGTTGTATTTAGATTGGATTTCAATTCTTTTAATTCTCTTATTATTTGAATATATGAATGAGAGACAGATTATAGTAAAACTCCACCATATAACCACCAACTAGCTAACTACCGGACAATAGTGTAGTAAAAGTGCAACGCGTGACAGTACGATATGGATGTGGTGTAACATTTACTTTCGTGAATATGAAATTTTTTATGGTAAAATCAAGAAAATCAAGGAAGATATAGTATTAATAATTACCAAGTGCTACTAACCAATTTTGATATATATGTTTTTTTATGCAAAAGTGTAGCACGAAAGTAATCCTAAAATTTTTAAAAATATTCGATAATAAAAAAATTAGAATTTATTTTTATCAGAATTTTAATTATTATTAATTTGTATTGTAAAAATTCATACATACTTTTATATAACAAAAAATCTCAATTCTCAAGCTCTTTGCATCAATTCCAGTGTTTTTGAAAAAAATTGTATTATATTATCAATTTATATATTTTAATAATGGAAGTTTTTTACTGGGGTGATCATCACCGTTGGTCGGAATTATCAATTTTTACCGGCACTATATTTTTTTAATGCTGGTCGATCGTCATAATTTCAGTCACCGGTGATCATCATTCCCGGTGATAGTTAAAAAAATTAAATCCAATATTATATTAAAAAATATTTTATTATATTACCATATAGTTCCAATAATAAGCATCCTTTTTTGCATATAAGTACATTATAATATAAACCAAAATTATCATAATTCTGGATTTCTGGTAAAGGTGGTAAAGAATATTTATTTTTCAGAAAATGCTTATATTTAAAACTCTATAATATTAATTTATTTATATATATGTAAATATCAATCAAATACTAATAATTTATAAAAAATTTATATTAAAGATAAACTTAAATATTATAAATAATAGACCATTTAGCTTTTTTTACACTTATTCTGATAAATATGAAGCCTTTCTGAAGTTGGATTTTAAGAAAATTTCCAGAAAGTCAGCTGATTAAGATATGTTATTATATTATTACAATAAACCAGTAATATATCTGTTACTCAAAAAGTTATACTGATAAATATAGAAATTTTAGATAAATCTAAATACCAATCAATAGTTGTATTACAATTAGATGTAAAAGCCACACTCTTTACTTCTAAAGGAAAAAATAAATAAGTTAATTATGCAGAAATTGTCAAATAAAATATAAGTAGTGATAGCAATAAATCTAACTTGCTATTATCTTTTAATAATAAAAATAACCACAAAAATACATGTTATCTATGTTGCAGAAAAAACTAGCAAAAAAGTTTTATATATATCTGAAAAAAATATTTTTTCAGTAATAACTACAACTAGCAAACATATTCATAAAATTATAGTATATAATATCAGGTCCTAAATAATACTAATATAGCTTATATTTGAGTTTATTTAGAGTTTATATTAAAATTTTTAAAAATTGCATATTATAGGAATATTCTCAAAATTTTGTTATTTTACATATTCTTTATTTTTAATACAACCAGTAATTCAATTTTAATAAAATTTATATCATTAGATTCATCTTAATGAGAAGATTTTAATGATAGTAAAATTACATTTCTAACTTTAATATTGACAAAGTTTAAAAATATAGTATGTAATTGATAATTACTACTTTGTATTATAATAGTAAGTTATTGTAAGTATTGCAATTTATTATTACTTTTAAATTCAAAGTATTGTAATATTACAATACTTATGATTTTTCAAAAATTTCCTTTTTTGTGATATACTATAATGTATATTTGTATAATTGGCAATAATTACAATATTATATAATAATTACAATACAGTCAAAGCTCGTTATAGTACTAAACCCTTGGTTCCAATCATTTTTATTTACTATAACGAATATTTATAATAGCGAAAAATCTCTTTATAGTAAACTTAATATAAAAATAAAAAAAATTTCTTATAACGAATATTTTTGAAATTTATTAATGCATATACGCATGCAATTATACATTTTAAGTATTTAATCTAAAACTAGTATTTGGAATCAAATATATTCAAATATACTCGAGTATTCATTTAAATTTATAAAGTGTATTCAAATAATATTCGAATAAGTTAAATTTCCTTTTATAGTAATGATTTACATAATTTTTTAGCCTGAATTATGATTTTAACTCAGTTAAATTTAAGGATTTAATACCCAATTAGAATTTTAACTACAGTTAACTCCCTCTATAGTCACTCCCGTTATAGTCACATTCTACTATATAGTCACAACAGTTGAATGTTCAAAAAACTTTATTATTAAAATCTATCCTATATAGTCACAATCTATCTATAGTCACTATCACACCTATCCTCAAAAATCTTATATAAAAAAGAATCGTTTATAATCACAGTTATATAAAGAATATATTAAATAACTTGGCATCTAATAATCGTACAAAGATGTATCATAGCTTGTTAGAATCGTCTCATTGAGACGAATAGAATGGTGGTAGTTTTATCCTTTTCCTTTTGCAAGTGTTTACGGCCAGACCACCCATTGCCTCTTATGAGACTAATCTCAGGTCTGTGTCCTATCATCTTCAACGGGCAACCATTATACCGA